AGGAGATCCAAGAGTAGGATCATCCCTTGTACTGAAAGTCTCCCTAGAGGTGTGGAGGACGTGTGTCGTTGAAGTGCAACGATAGTGCAAGTAAGGCCACCATTAAATACTCGTGGACGAAAGAAAAAAAGCTTCTGCTTGAGGAGGAGCGTGACCATGTGGAAGGGATTCACACTTGAGGGGGAGTGTTGGAATTCAAGTGTGAAGCGAAGTCCCACATTGGTTAGAGTTGGGCATGTTGAGTAATATATAAGTGAGAAAGACCCACCTACCTAATGCCTTAAGGTTTTAAGATATGTTGTGGTGTCAAGCTCACTTGTGTGACTTACTCACTACCCATTGTGTGGAATGTTCCCCGGTGTTCTAAACTCCCCAACAAAATCAGACTCAATAAAGAAATAAATAAATAAATAAATATATATATATATATATATAACTTAATATAAAAGGATACAAATACGTGTCTTTACTTTTTATTATCCAACTTTGTCCCTTCATATAATTATATGAAAGATTTTTATTTCCTTTAAAAATAAATAACTGCACAACCTTCTTTCTTTAACATTTTCTCTATTTCTAACTTTTTCTTTTAAAATAATAATCGCATAAATAATCTTTCGTCTCTATCATTTTACCCTTAGTTTTCAATTTTCAAAATAGTAAACATTTCTTCTCCAGTTTCAAGGCCACGTTCATAATTCTACTTCACTGCCAACCAAGGTAGATCTTTTTATTCCTGTCCTCCAAGGTTATTGCCATTGTCTGCTTTTTTGGACATAATAACCGCTCATTGTTTGCAGTGTACACATAAGTGTAAGAATTCGAATCGGTTACCTTCAATTCCATATATAAATAATAAGCAACGAACCCTCTTCCTCAACCACATTATATTGTTAGTTAAACATTTTGATTTTTTTTCTTCACTTGGGAATTACATTTTTTTTGTCTAACCTTTTTTTTTATATATATGTTTTCATATGTGTAATTTTTAGGATGGTTTGAACTTTTCACATCTTCATATTTTGATTTCAACTATCTACATCTCTCTTCCTAAAATCCACATTTTTGTTTTAGTATTTTGATGGAGAATTTTACCAAATATTTCTTGGAAGTTTCAAGTGAGTTTTTATTTTATTTATATTTTTTCTTAATAAAAAAATTATAAAATGTTTCGATTCCAAGAGAATTTAGGAATGAAAACTGATATAATTGTGCATTGTAGCAGGTGAAAACACATATAAAAACATGAAATTGGTAACCACTTTTGATTTGAACATTTAAAAACACATATAGACACAATTCTTATTCGTGGAGACATCAATCAAATACTAAAATATGTTAAATTCATTGTTACAAAAAATATAACCGACAACTTTAGTTAATATTTATTTCATTTATTCGTGTGCATTATAATAATTTAATTTGCATACTTGCTGTAATGATTTAGTTCTCTCTTAACAAATTTCATGTTTATGCCTTTTTTTAAAAATTATTTTAGTCGTTCTATTTTTTTTTTTTTTTTTTTTGTGATTGTAGTTGTCTATAGTTTCAATTTAAATTTATTTATTTTTCTCTATAATTTTGACTCCTTTGCTAAAATACAAAAAAAATTATTATTAATTTTAGATAGTGATGTATGGTTATTCTTTTATTATATTTTATTTTATGCAGTCATCTTTATTATTTTCAAAAAAAATTTGGCATTATGATTTTCTATTTCTTACTATGCACGGTACATGATAGGTATTATATTTAATTGTTCTTATCAACTCTCATTTTTTTTGTTAATTTTTTTTATTTATTTTTTAATTTTGAATAGTCATACCATCTTCAACTATAATTTATTCATTCAACTTATGAATTATTTTAAATTTGAAGAAAAAATACATATAGAGACACGAAATGCCTAAGCTCCGCTAGTATATATAAAGAGAGTCACAATCCGTTGTTATTCGGTTTAAGTCTAAAAATTTATAACAAATTTTATATTTTTAATAAAAATAATGTAAATTTAATTGATTCAATTATTAAATTATGTAATATTATATTTAAGATCATATATATCAAATTTATCAAATTTTATATAATTTTAAATTTTTAAAATGTTATTAAAAATAAATATTTACACATAATTTAAAATATTATATGTTAAAGTAAAAAAATATAATAAATTATAAAATCATTTTAAAATTGCATATAATTTGATGTAAATGATTTTAATTATAATATTGAAGTATATTATCACATTCATCACCGATTATTATTTTCTTCATATTATTGTGGGTTACACTTTTCTATTTTATGTTAATATATTATTTTATTGAGTATTTTAACATATATAATACTTTTTTCAATGTTCTTAATTCAATTTAACATATTGAGTTTTATCTCAATAATTTTTTATTTTTTTTAAATATTCTTCATCAATATATAATAATTTAAGTACTTTATCTTTTATATTTTTAATTTAATTAATTTTTAAAATATATTATTTTGAAAATCATCATTAAAATAAAACTTAATTAAGTGAGTTCTGACATTTTAAAAACTAAAATTACAATATCTTTATACTTGTGTTTTTTATCTCTTAAGAGTATATTCAATTTCAATCTCCAAAACTTTAATTAAACAACTTTATTCAAATTATCACAATTTAAAATTTTAATTATTTTAAAATTATGTTATACATATTATATTTTTAAATTATACGGTTGTTAATATATATATATGTATATATATATGTATGTATAATTAAAATTGTATAATTTTAAAACAAAAAATATATTTATATTATAATTCTAATTCATATTTCAAATAATATATATTTATTATTAAGTTCAAATCATTATTTATAATGTAACAAATTTTCAATTAAACCCAAAACCTAATAGCTCAATATTTTTATATTTTAAAATATATTATTTAATAATACATAAATAAATAACAGTTATAAGATGAGGCATAATTCCTCTAATAGTTTTTTATTATGACATTTTGCATGTATCATCCTCCACTATATTTGTAAAGCAAATTTGAATGATGTATAACGTAACAATAGGATTGTGGAAGATAGATATTGCCGCCTTTAATTTTCTTCTCATTAGAATTATTTCACAAAACTTGCCGTAATCAACTTTTTCTAAGACCTAACACTGTTACTGAGATGTAAATCTTGCCCTTTAATTTTCTTCTCATTAGAATTATTGAAATAATGCTTTCTTACTGCCGATTAAAAGTCACACATTTTAGTGAACTTGCTATTAAGTCAAGTCTAAGGGGAAAAAACTCATCGTGATATCTACCAAATGCTAATTTACACAAACAGTGATAGGAAAAAAAAATGCCACTGCTATTACTATTATCTTTTTTACAAAAACCAATATTCATCTTAAAAAATATTGCATTACCGTTTCTAAAATGATATTTTCTTTCTATCGATATAATGGAGATATATGGCTTAGATTTAACGTGAATATTAATCTAACATTGTTTCTCGAGTTTGAAATACTGGAAGGGTGACTGATAATCGGATACTCGCATACACCATTGAATAACTGGAGGAGAATCGGGAATAACATTGATCTTCGAATAAAATAATTATATCATTAACTGTACAAAATTTCAAACATAAAACTCAACATTGGTGTGACAAATAAGATCAAGGCAGCACCGGCCGCATATGAAAATTGCATAAATGCATTAAGTGATAGTCTAACAAGAAGCTCATATGCGCAGGCACAGCCAAGTGATTCCCAGCACCATTTCAAAGCATGAAAAAGCAATCATAGCCAACCATAACTTCATAAACTACCAAACAGCATTTTCTTTAGAATCTGATACACTAATTCCAAGCATTCATGCAATCATCTATATCAAGTGCCAAGTGCCAATAACTAGCCCACTTAGAAGTAACTCGCAAGCCAATAGCTAAAGCAACAAGAAGTGGGATTGGAAGCCTCATTACTCTTGTTTTAACTTCTCCAACTTCTTCCCCCTACTGAAAGCATTTTCGAATACTGATATAAGGCCGTGTATGAAACAATCACGGAAACTCTAAGCCAAGGTTCCCAAACACAAGCAGAAAAACAGAAATATTACAGTTCGGTTTGTCAGTTTTACCACTGAACTACATTTAAAGTATACACTACCTGCAACTAATGATAGAACATAAAATTTCGTCCCGAGCTCTAATGGGCTACTTGCAGGCTTTCAAAAAATAAAAATAAAAATAAACATGAACCAACAGAATCAGCCCACTGTTGTACCATTAGGTAAAAAAAACACCAACAACCACAATATTTTTTTCAAATAATGGAAACAAAACACAAACTAAGTACCAATTCCGATTCAATATAAGCACTCAAAAACATAATTAAAAAAAAGGTAATTAAAATAGAGCAAATTGAAAAGAAAAAAAACAAAAATACATAAATATTATATATAATTTCAAAATAAATGTAGTGCTGTTATTTGACTCCTATCTCGTGGATTAAACAAGAGACGAAGCAGATGACAACACTCAATCTATGAGTTTTTCAGACCCAGAACCAATTAAATAGGCACAGGGTATAGTTAAAACTCAAGTCTAATTGGATTAAAAAAAATAGACCTAACCAACACAATTTTAATACAAACAACTGCACAAAATACTAGGTAACCTCAGATTGTTCCTAGATGCTATTGGAAATGTAGTAACACCAAGTAGGTTCACCCTGAAAACAGGGTCTTGGATCAACTACAACCCCTAGCAAGTTGGATTGCCACATCATTGGTGAATTTGTAATATGTTTTGTTACCAAAAGCTTTACGGACTCCTTTAAAGCTTCTAAACATTGAGAATTAAATAATAATAAGTCAATTAAATCTATAACACACTTTCACAGAGTATAATGCCTCAGTAAAATCACTTGTTATCACATGAATGTAGCTTCACCAAGTAGGTTCATCCTGAAAACAGGGACTTGGCTCCACAACACCTCAAACAAATTGGATTATATCATCATCAGCAGCCTAATAAACAGCAAACTACCAAATCACAAAATAATAAATTCCAGCTATTAAAATTAAACAATTAACTACACAATTAAATAATAAACATTAAAACAACAAAAAAAATGATAGAACAATGTCGAAAGGCTCAGAGATACATAACAGCTCTATCAATCACAAATTTTCAGAAGCAGAACTGGCATAAAGCTGAATAGAAATCATCATAGCCAAGTTTTAAAAATCAAACACTTCCTAAAGTACAAACATATTGAAACAGACAAAAAAAAACATTTTTAAAAGAAAATTATCATACCATGGCTCATATCAAGAAATTCAACCATTTTAACCAATTATGCTTCAGTGCCGAAACTCAGAAATAGCAAAGATTTTAAGAGTGTACCACTAATTTAACAAATTGTTTCTCCCACGTTTGGAATCCTGGAAAGGGTGACAAATACTTAAAAGCCAAACACACCTTAATGCATATAAATTTATTAACTAATGGCCAGGAATAGAATAGATCTTTGGATAAAATAATTGTTATAAAGAATTATTTGTAATTTTGATTCATGTGCCTTGTTGATAATCCAAAATCATTTTCTATTCCATCCCTTTCTCTTACATTTCATTTCATCAACTCTACAAAGTTTCAAACATAAAACCCAACGTTGGTATGACAAATAAGATTTAAGCTGCACTGGCAGCAAATCAAAATTGCAAAAATGAATTCACTGATAGTCTAACAAGAAGCTTATATGCACAGGCACAGCCTAGTGATTCCCTGCACCATTTCAAAGCATGCAAAAGAACAATACAATAATTGCATCAGGAGAACAGCAAAATAACCTCTATCCATCTATGTCATGTCCTACCTCAACTTCATACACCATCAAACTTCATTCTTCTTTAGACTCTGGTACAGTAGTTCTCAACAGTCATGCAATCATCCATGTCAAGTGCCGGTAGCCGGCCCACTTGGCAGCAACTCGCAAACCAATAGCTAAAGCTGCAAGAAGAAGTGGAATTGGAAGCCTCATCTCTCTTGTTTCAACTTCTCCAACTTCTTTCCCTTCAGAAAGACTTTTGGAATACTGATAAATGGCTAAGGCCGTGTATGAAACAATCACCAAAACTCTAACCCACGGCTCCCCAACACCAGCAAGCACAGCAGCGACAGGCATTGCAGCTGAAACATCATCTCTCTTTTTGAGAAACTTTGAAAAAGCATACACCCCAAGAAGAAGGGTCCAGAACAATGGTTCAGAAATATATCCTCTAACAGCGGCATAGCCAATAAGACCAGATACAGTCAAAACATAAGGTTGGCTGTTGATGCTGTTTGGTACAGTAGCTTCGGCAACAGCTAAAACAATTGATGCCAGAACAATGATGATGGTCAGGTCCGGTACGGGAGCATTGCCAATTATCCATGAGTAGCAAGCCCGAACTGTGTAAAATAAATCCTCCATGCATCTAATTGAGAAAGTTATCGGACTTCCTATGAAATGGTAGACTACTGCAAAGGCGTATTTCAAGACGTACCCTATAAAACGGGCAATCACCAATGCAGCATTCTTCCAGTTTGACAGTTCAAACAGAACAGCTCTCCAAGCATAGATAAGAAAACCCAGTACTGTACATTGACATATAATCAAATTGTTACATGATCACATAAAAGAGAAAACATGTCAATAAGGAAACAAAACAGTCGGGCAAAAATGTTCTAAATGGGAACTCAGTGCATAAAACTTTTAACTCCCTATCACATGTGAGGTTAAAGTTCGTATTTGTAAACAGCATCAAACATTGTAACCATAAGGTATCACTTTATATGACTTTCAAAATTACTTTTAATTGGACACCTAACAAATTATGTAAAATATAATAACTAATTACTCATAGAACAATAAAAGGATAAACTAAAAACCTCTTATGAAAGAATAGTATATATTAAGGGTATAGTTTAGTTTGATTCAGCTGAATTTTAAGAATAGAAATTGAAAATCAAATCCTAAACCCTAAACCCCGTAAGCAAATAGAGAGAGAAAGAAAGGGAAATGGGACAGACCCAGAAACCATGGCCACCTAACAGGAGGAGCGGGAACTTCTTTGGAGAGGTAGCGAAAGCGTTGGGGCATGGTGCTCTTTCCTCGCGCCTCTTTCTCTGCTTCATCGATGGCCGTGAAAACCGTGAAAACGTCACCGGCATTGTCGTTGTCGTTTAGCGCGAAACGCTTTGCGAGGGAGAAGGTGGGAGGTTTGGGGGAAAAGGCGATAAGGTTGCGTCTGAATTGGGGCCTGAAGGGTTGGAGTTTGGTGGATGGGAAAGAGGGTTTGAAGGAGAGGGTGGGAGATACGAGGGACATGGCTTATGCTTATTGCCTTCACTTTCACTGAAAGGGGTAATCAAATGCTCAATCCGCTGCACTTCAGTAATCAAATGCTCAATCCACTGCACTTCATAACACACTAACACTAGTCATTATAGCCAAGTTTTAAAAATCAAAAACACTTCCTAAAGTACAAACATATTGAAACAGAAAAAAAACACTTTTAAAATAAAATTATAATACCATGGCTCATATCAAGAAATTCAACCATTTTAACCAATTATGCTTCCGTGCCGAAACTCAGAAGCGCGGATAATATAAAATCATCGCCAGTTAATTCCAAAAAAAAAAAAACGAAACTCTAAATCGAATAAATAATGTGACGATTGTTTTCAGAGGAACAAGGAAGGAGTCATTGCCCAAGCGAAAACAATCGCGGTTCAATCTGCGCCTCTAGGACTAGCTTGGGTTTCAGAGGTGTTCGAAAACAAGCTGAAGGTATAGCGAGGCAAAATCAAAAAGTAAGAGAAAGAATTGAAAGGGGAATTTGGCCGTTACTTTGACACAGATCAGCCGTGGGAAATTGGGGCTAAACTGCAACACGAACGGCGGCGATTTGGCACGTGCATCGGGGCCTTCGCGTCATGGGGAACTCAGAGAGGCCCGGGAGGCACCGTGCGGAGAATTTCACCAAAACTGAAGGGAAACTAAGCAATGCAATATGCAAACAAACCTTGAAAGTGTAGTGAAGATGCAAAACCCTATTCGGTGCGAGGGTTATATAGGCATAGTAAACCCTAAAATTTCTCTCTTGGCAACGGTGGAATGTATTGCTGCGTCTAAGCCTTACCCGACCCGATTGGGTTAGGTTTGGCCATCCAATTTGGGTTCAAGTCCAATTTTCAATGCTTGCATTTCGGTTGCATCGTGGGTAATATTTATTTTAACAAAATACAATTTATATTTATTTTTCAGTTTTTGTGCAATAACAAGAGAAATAAGAAAGACAGAAAAATGTTAAATATGATAGATTGACAGTTGATTTGAGAAAGAGAAATATAAAAATAATAATATTATAAAAATTATATGAATGTTATAATTACTCTTCTTCCTTGTGTGTTTGGTGCGTATAATAATTCTTATTTTAACAAGTGTGGAAATTTTATAACAAAAAAAAGCATTTTACAGTCTAATTGAAATTTATTTGAAGTTAATCTTTACATAATATATTATATTTCTATTATTTATTTTGATACCATGTTATTTCAATATTTTTAATTAAATTTATGTAAACAACTATTGAGTTGTAAATTTAGGCGTATTTTTTTTTATTTGATTTCTTGCATGAATCTTCCCTCAGTTAAATGTTTTTAAGTATCTTTATATCTTATCATGTAAAAAAAGCATATTTCTTGCATGTATCTGCTAATTTAAAATGAAAAGCATATTTATTATTAAAAAAAACATTTGATAGAAGATAATTTTTTTCAAAAATTGTGATTATTGTAAAATACACTTGATCAATCATAAATATTTTCAAGATATTTATATATGTTTCCTTATAATCAAATAATTTTTATTGTCTTAAATAATTAAATAAAAAGATCGTGATATTTTTTACTGTAATAAAACTTTTTTAAAATCAAAAATATTAAATTCTCATATCCTCAGAACAAATTTTGCAAGAAAACTTATTAAAAAGTATTCTCAAGAAACAATATTTCTTAAAAATATTATTTTTTTAAAATAATAAACTAAAAGTGAAAAAATATCCTCAACTCTAATTTCTTCTAGAAAGTGAAAACTTTCTCCATAATAAACATCTCCTTAGACTTGGAGTGTCTAAGACCGTAGAGGATGATCACGCTTTTATTTTTCTTCTCATTAGAGTTATTTCACAAAAACTTAACCTATCGACAGATTGATCCTTTTTAGACAACCCCGTTATTAAGTTGTAAATTTAGAAATAACACATTACATTTACTAATATGATATTTTCTATCTATCTATAATGATTTTATAAATATAAGCTTGTACAAGTGACTCAGAAATAGCAAAGATTTTAAGAGTGTACACTAATTTAACAAATTGTTTCTCGCACGTTTGGAATCCTGGAAAGGGTGACAGATACTCAAAAGCCAAACACACCTTAATGCATATAAATTTATTAACTAATGGCCAGGAATAGAATAGATCTTTGGATAAAATAATTGTTATAAAGAATTATTTGTAATTTTGATTTATGTGCCTTGTTGATAATCCAAAATCATTTTCTATTGCATCCCTTTCTCTTACATTTCATTTCATCAACTCTACAAAATTTCAAACATAAAACCCAACGTTGGTATGACAAATAAGATTTAGGCTGCACTGGCTGCAAATCAAAATTGCAAAAATGAATTCACTAATAGTCTAACAAGAAGCTTATATGCACAGGCACAGCCTAGTGATTCCCTGCACCATTTCAAAGCATGCAAAAGATCAATACAACAATTACATCAGGAGAACAGCAAAATAACCTCTATCCATCTATGTCATGTCCTACCTCAACTTCATACACCATCAAACTTCATTCTTCTTTAGACTCTGGTACAGTAGTTCTCAACAGTCATGCAATCATCCATGTCAAGTGCAGGTAGCCGGCCCACTTGGCAGCAACTCGCAAACCAATAGCTAAAGCTACAAGAAGAAGTGGAATTGGAAGCCTCATCTCTCTTGTTTCAACTTCTCCAACTTCTTTCCCTTCAAAAAGACTTTTGGAATACTGATAAATGGCTAAGGCCGCGTATGAAACAATCACCAAAACTCTAACCCACAACTCCCCAACACCAGCAAGCACAGCAGCGACAGGCATTGCATTGAAACATCATCTCTCTTTTTGTGAAACTTTGAAAAAGCATACGCCCCAAGAAGAAGGGTCCAGAACAATGGTTCAGAAATATATCCTCTAACAACGGCATAGCCAATAAGACCAGATACAGTCAAAACATAAGGTTGGCTGTTGATGCTGTTTGGTACAGTAGCTTCGGCAACAGCTAAAACAATTGATGCCAGAACAATGATGATGGTCAGGTCCGGTACGGGAGCATTGCCAATTATCCATGAGTAGCAAGCCCGAACTGTGTAAAATAAATCCTCCATGCATCTAATTGAGAAAGTTATCGGACTTCCTATGAAATGGTAGACTACTGCAAAGGCGTATTTCAAGACGTACCCTATAAAACGGGCGATCGCCAATGCAACATTCTTCCAGTTTGACAGTTCAAACAGAACAGCTCTCCAAGCATAGATGAGAAAACCCAGTACTGTACATTGACATATAATCAAATTGTTACATGATCACATAAAAGAGAAAGCATGTCAATAAGGAAATAAAACAGTCGGGCAAAAATGTTCTAAATGGGAACTCAGTGCATAAAACTTTTAACTCTCACTATCACATGTAAGGTTAAAGTTCGTATTTTTAAACAACATCAAACATTGTAACCATAGGGTATCACTTTATATGACAACTAACAAATTATGTAAAATATAATAACTAATTACCAATAGAGCAATAAAAGGATAAACTAAAAACCTCTTATGAAAGAATAGTGTATATTAGGGGTGGTAAAAAAAACTAAACTGAACTGAACTGAACTGGTGGTGAACTGTACTATAAAAAACTGAACTGTTTGTAAAAAAAACTGAACTGAACTGTTTAAAAAAAAAACTGAACTGAACTGTTGTAAAGTTGAACTGTACTGAACTATAAAAACTGAAATGAATTATAAAAATTGAACTATTTTTATAAAAGAATAAAAATTAAATGTGTTTAACATGTTATGTCTTAATAGATTAGCTCGATAGTTTAATAACCAAAATTTTAGAAAAAAAGTGATTTGAAAAAAAATTGTATCAATTTTGTTGAACTTAACGGATCAATTGAGTTATGTTGAACTTCTTATTTTTAGGCTTAAAATTCACTGAGTTTGTTTGACTTAATTATATATTTTTTTCCTTTGAAAAATTTAAATAAAATGGAAAATAAAGTAAAGTTGACAAATGTGTCCTATTTTGATAGATCAATGAGTCAAAATTGTTCAATTCAAAATATCATAACAGTTTAGTGCAGTTTAAATTGCAATTTAGTTCAAGTTTTTATAGTATAGTTCAGTTCAGTTCAATGACACAAAAGAATAGTTCAGTTCAGTTCGTCTGAACTAATATTTAGTTTAGTTCAGTTCATATGAACTACTTTTAAGTTCAGTATAGTTTTTATAAGTTCAGTTCAGTTCAGTTCGTTTTGCTCACCCCTAATGTATATTAAGGGTATAGTTGAGTTAGATTCAGCTGATTTTTAAGAATAGAAATTGAAAATAAAACCCTAAACCCTAAACCCCGTAAGCAAATAGAGAAAGTGAAAGGGAAATGGGACAGACCCAGAAACCATGGCCACCTAACAGGAGGAGCGGGAACTTCTTTGGAGAGGTAGCGAAAGCGGTGGGGCATGGTGCTCTTTCCTCGCGCCTCTTTCTCTGCTTCATCGATGGTCGTGAAAAGGTCACCGGCATTGTCGTTGTCGTTTAGCGCGAAACGCTTCGCGAGGGAGAAGGTGGGGGGTTTGGGGGAAAAGGCGATAAGGTTGCGTTTGAATTGGGGCTTGAAGGGTTGGAGTTTGGTGGATGGGAAGGAGGGTTTGAAGGAGAGGGTGGGAGATACGAGGGACATGGCTTATGCCTATTGCCTTCACTTTCACTCAAATGCTCAATTCGCTGCACTTCGTAACCCACTAACACGAGTCACTTTTTTACTATTTCCCTTTTTCCTTTACTATTTTTTTACATCATTATTTTATTAATTAATTTATTATAATTTGGAAATAACATTCCATCCTATTTTTAAGAATAAAGGGGCAAAGTAATTGATCATTCCCCTCCGAAATGTTTATCAAATGGGGGTTCATTTTGGTTGGTAGTCCATCAAGTAACAATCTCCACACAAATATAACTACCTAAGGTGGAACTTTGATTTTCCACATCTCCGTAAATACACTTTCTCCTTCATTCTTCATTCTTCATTCTTAATTTCATTAGTTTCTTATATGTAGAATTAATAGTATATTTTCTGTCACCCAAATCCATTCATTAATCATGATTGCAATTATTGATCCTTATCCCCTCTAAATTTGTCATCATACTTTCCGTTAAGCCTTTTGCCCATACAAACCATTCCCTTCCCTGGTTCAACTTCCACACATGCTCTCATTCAACCCATTCTCCCACATTTCTTATCCATTCTTCTTCTAGTTATCCATTAACACAGCCTTATATATATGTCAACTAGTTTTTCTCTCCATTTATCCATTAGTCCTCCCAAAATTTTAGCCTTAATTTCACCCTTTCCAATTTTTCATTTCAACATGTCATCAAACCATTTTGTTCAACTAGAGCTTATCTTTATTTCCTGAACAACAAATATTATTTTTATATGACATTTATAATATAAAATTATATATTAAATAATATATTGAATCAAGTGTTTCAACTAGTAATCCACTAGTTTAACCACTAATTCATTGACCTATCTTTGAAACACATAACACATCATTTATTTTAAAATTATTGTTGTTGTTGTTGTTATTATTTTTTATTAATATAGTTGTTATTATTATTATTATTGTTGTTGTTGTTATTGCTGTTATTATTATTATTATTGTTATTATTATTATTAGGTCGGGTTGAGTCACAAGTCAAAAACATAAAATTTGTTATTCAACCTATACAATGCCAAGTTTTGATAGCGTCAAGTTGAATCTAATATGATCACTAAAAAAATATGATTCAAACTCAATTAATTAGTCAGTTTGGAATAGCTCAAGTTTGCAAGTTACTTGTCACACTATATGTTTTCCTGAATTATTGCATTTTATCAATAATTATTATGAGTTGTGTTGATTATGTGGTGTGTGTTGTTTTTGGAGTAATTATTTAGGTGCTCTAGGAGTTGGGAAACTCCAAAAAAGTTTTGGGTGTTTAGAGTGTTTTTCTAAGCAAAGGTCCAATTTGACCTTGAGGGGATGAGTATTTAAGACTTCCTTTTAGAATTGAGTTTTATAAGTTCAGTTTTTGAGAAACTTAGAAAAATAAAATAGAGAATCTTTGTTGAGAGTGTTTTTGAAGTTTTCATTCTCCTTTCCAGGCTCCTAGAGTATGTTGAGGATCTCTATTGAGCGTCTTATTGGTGATTTGAAGCTTATGGAATTGAGAATCAGAGTCAATGTAGAGTTTTCTCGATTTTGCTTGGAGTTATTCTTCCTTCTTCATCTCTTTGCTTGGTGTTGAGGTAAGGGAAGCTTTGATTGATCTATTGATGAATTGGTTGAGTTGTATGTCGTTGGTTTTCATCATATATGGTATGTTGTTGGGATTTTCAAAGGGTATGATGAAGGGGTCGGGTTTGGGTGTTTGATGCTTGTTGAGATGATATTGATGATTTGGTCTTAAATGTGGCTGCATGTATGATTTGAGCTTTGAGTTGAAGATGATTAGTATAAATGAAATATCGTATTTCATGTTTGGTTCTTCTGATTTTCAGGTGTTGGGAAGCAAATTTGCGAGTTTACTAGGTGTAGAACTCACCATCACGCTTGTCACACCTTATAGACATTGAGCGTGGCTTCAACTAGGGGGTCTCTGTCTTGTTCACGTTAAGCGCATGTTAGATAGTGTTGAACGTAAGGAGATAGAATTGTATCAGGTTAAAATCATGTCAAGCGGGGTTCGAATGGTGTCAAACATGAGGTGAGAGAGTTGCCTCAAATTGGATTGCGTTGGGTGCTAAAGGAGTGGCGTTGGTCGTGAGCAAAAAAAATCGTCTCGAGTTGATTTGGGACGGGACATAGGACCTTGCCACACCAAGTGCAAGGGTCTAGGGGATCTCCATCTAATCTAAGAAAGATCTTATATTTACATGTTAACTTTCGTTACCTTGGAATCAAAGTAAATTAGGAAAAAGAAGAAGAGAAAAAAAAGAGCTCCAAACACCGAAAGCTCTACACCAAATCCTTACAACAGGATTTGGGATTTTTCAACACCTTAAATCCAAGAAAGATTAATCAAACTCCACCATGGAAGGGCTAAGGAAAAAAGAAAAAGTCTTAAGAATCACTTTATCTTATCTTTTTAAATTTTCTTTAATAAATAAGTTTTTGAGATTAATATATATATATATATATATATATATATATATATATGTTGAGACTAATCGAAAACCATAAGATTCGAAAAGTGGTATCGACTGTGCTACTTGAGAGAAATATAAACGTCAAATCAACACCTGTTGAGAGCGCATGAGGAATCCTATTTGTTTGTGCTCGAGGTCTAGTCGAAAAAATAAGGACCACTTGAAAATAGACGGTTTTTCTGAGGCTATCTCAAAACAATTAGGTAATTATACCAAAGCGGTTACTAAAAGACAAATCGAAGGGATAAAAACACGTGGGATAAGCAGTTATTGGAAGTTATAAGCACGTATCTGATATGGAGAGCAGTTAACCACCCACGACGCATGCATGCAAAAGAAAACTGCTCTCGAGAATTTCTATAAATAGGCGAAGGTTGGCCTTTTACATGGTCGGAAATTTCATACTCACATTTCTATAAGCACTCTCTGCCTGCGCATATTTCTGTGTGGTGGGCCTGAGACAAATGGGCTTGGCAAATAAATTCAAATAATTAATTTGAAAACCCGTAACAGCTGCCAAAAAACCGCTTCACAATGATGAAAACTGGGAATACGCAATCACGCACCGCCAGGGGAGTTAATATCACATCATAACGGTCACCACATTAAATAGGGGTCAGAAATAGGGTTACATCGAAGAGATACAAGCCATTAACAAGGAGATCTAATTCGAGAGAACATTAAAGATAGTTCCCGATAGGAATTCAGTTCTATTTACTCAATATGTTCATCGACAATGAATTCCTAGGGGGGCATTTGTTATGATTACTCGAAAACCATGAAAGTCGAAAAATATACTGATGAAGCTAATCGAAAAAGGAGGAAGATAAACACCTGTTTGGAACATATTAGTGGAAGTATTGAGATCAACTCCTACCTGATAACAACTGATTTGAGATCGAAAATAATTATTTCGAGTTGAATAATGATATGTTCGAGATTGTGTATAGGTGTTTATGATCATACAAAAATGGTTAGCGTCCAGGTCGAGAAGTTAGTGTACGCGAAGAGCGGTTGTGAGAAGTTACACTTTAGGAACCACATAATGAGCGTAGTGGATAGCGGTTATCTCATAGTGGCCTACGTGCACGAGTGTCTAAGTGACTTAACCTTCATTGATTCATTCTATAAATTCAAGAAGTCTGCATTGTCACAAGGTCGGAAATTTCATACTCACATTTCTGTAAGCACTCTCTGTTCACTTTTTTTTACCATTATACCTTTTTATTTAAAAAAAAATTCAAAATATTTTTTAATCAAATTTAAAAACTTAAAACTAATGAATTAATCATAATATCAATTAAATCAATATATTTTTATTATTTAATTTTTATTTTATTTTATTTTTAATAGAGACACGAAATGCCTCGACCCCACTAGTCTTCCAAATTATATTTTTGATCTCTCAAATATAAAATATACTTTATTCTAATTTTTTAAATTTAAAATTTGTACTTTTAGTTTTTTATAATTTAAAAAATAGTTTTTATTCTATTATATATTTTTATCTCTCAAATTTAAAATATATACTTTTAATTCTCAAAATATACAAAAATATATTTTAACCTCTCTACTTAAATGTTATTAATAAATCTATGTTATAAATTTTTTTTACTAATATTATTTTCGGTGAAATTATCGTGTTAAATTAACTATACGACGTAACTTCTTCAATTTATTAATGAAAATTATGTTATTAATGATTATGTAAAATAATATTTTTTAAAATTACAAAAATTAAAAAATAAATTTTAAATTTGAAAGATTAAAATAATAATTTTTAAATATTATAACTAAAAAGATTGTTTTTAAATTTAAATGAAAAGAATACACAAAACTAAAATGATATTTTCAAATATTATGAATACTAAAAACATAAATTTTAAATTTGAAAAAAAAAATTACTCTAAGTTTAGAGAATTAAAAATACATCTAAGCTTAAAGGAAAAAAAATTAGAACATCTTTGCACCCATGGATATGGTCTTGCAATTTATTTATTTTTTTTCTGGTACTATTGCGAATGGTGCCAATAAATTTAAATCTAAATCTGGACCGAGGCTTAGGCTTACTATCCATTTATGGACAGGTTAGACTCAAGAGGCGTTGGACTATTTTTGTTGGGAAATTAATTTGTGGCCTGAAAAATCATTAGATCTTATTAATTTATATAAAACAGTATAATAGTTAAAATAAATATCATAATACAAAAAATATAATAAAAATAAAATAAAGCCATATATGAACATCAATATATCTTTTAGTATAACGTTGAAGTAATAAATAAATATCGTAAATAGTACAGTAGTTAAAATAAATGGTGCCGTATTAGTGGAAGAATGGAAAGAAAAAGGAAAAAGGTAAAAAAAAAAAAAAAGAAGAAAAAAAAAGGTTCCGAAGAAATTAGAGACCACTTCAATACTTATTTTTAAAATAATTTTAAATTTTATTACTTTTTAGGTTATTAATTATAATTTCTTTTGTTAAAACAGAATGTGGAGTGGGAAATTCACAACCCCGAGTTAGTATTTATTATAATCTACTTACATGCAAAAATGTTGTAAAAATTAACATTTACCAAAAGCTATTTTAAATCTAATCCAAATAGTAAGTATGATATTGGTTTAGTTTATATTTAAAAAATAACTTAATTTTATTTTATCATATAAAATTTCATACATAACAAGTCACTATTTTTAATTTTATTTATATGTATCATTATTGTCAATTTTATTTAATAAATACTCCACCTGATTCTGAATATAAACAATAAAAAAACAATTTACATTAATTAAGAAAGTTAGTTAATATTATTTGATTATACTAATTCCATTTAAAAAATAAGTTAATTTCTTAAAACTTTTTATTAAAAATAAAAATAAAAATATTTGAAAATACAATTTCACAAACTGTTATATATAAAAAAATTTACTGAATTTTATAATAATTATCATAAATTACATTTTACACATTGATAATGTATAAAAACTAAAGTTATTTCTTTTCATAAGTTTATAATAAGATTTAATTATTTAACCATGTCATCCATTCATTAACAAAGTGTGACTGTATAAGTAAATTCTTCTTTCATAAAAAATTAATAAAATAAATTCTTATTAGACATTTATGTAAAAAATGAATATGACTTTTAAAGTATACTGTAAAAGTTAATTAACTTATTATAAATAGTAGTTTATGATTAAATAAAAAAAATTTAGTAATTTTTTAATTATAAAAGTTAATTGATTTATTATAATTGTGGGAGATAGCTAATTTTGTTAGTAGGTAGAGCAGTTGTATCGAAAAGGGGGAGATAACAGAATCATAGAAACCCACTTCTCTCCCATTCCCAACGGTTTTCTTTTCTGTCTCTTTCTCTCTCTATCTGTGCTCACTTAGTGATCATAAGAAACTCAAACTCAAAGATTTGATCAAAGTTCCGTTCTTTATTCCTCAAAGATCCAAACCCAGCAGCAGATCTCTCTATTGAGCTGGAATCATGAGGCGAAGGGGTGCAGATTTTCGAAGGCCGGGGAGGAGAAGCCTTAAAGATGTCGTGTGGTGGACATCATGTACCGTTTTGCTTCTTTTCTTTATTTATATCCTCACCAAAGGCAACACCAACATTGACTCCACACAACATTTCTCCAGGGTATAATTCAATCATTGTCTTTTCTCAATCAGTTAATACATTTCTAGTCTTAATAATGCAAAATTGATTGAATTTTACACTTTTGAAGCCTTGTAGTTGTAGTGTAAAAATATAATCAATTTTGTTTTTAGTGTGACATAGGAATAGTGTTAATGTTGATTGATCATGGGATGAGATTTGTGTGTTTATGTATCTTTCTTCTTCTTCTTTATAATGTCTATTATTATATATCAGGGTTATCTTGGTATTCTCATCATTTTTGTGCATATGTATCCTTGTGCAATGTGAAGTAATTGACCCTTAAACCATGTTAGAATATTTTTGTTCATTGTTCCATATGTGTTTCTTCCATGTATTTCTTGGGAGGAGGAAGGGTTAAGGGTTGAGTAGAATCGAATATACTAGTTTGAATAGCAAAAGAAATAACTATATGAGGTGTGTTCCTACCTCCTATCAAGCTTATTGGAAAGCCTATTCATTCAATAACAAAAATGGTGTTGTTTCCGGATGTTGTACTTGTCTTAAGCTATATTATATGAATGTGTTTGAGTAAACTTCTCTATAAGCATTTTGAGAAAACAAAATAGAAAAAAAATTAAATGAGTTTCTTCATAAGTTAAAATTAACTTATGCATAAACAAATTTGTAAAAGCTCTCTTCTAATAGCTTTTCCAAAATCTTATTTTTTTTATAATATGTTTTGTTTTCATAATGAAGAGAAAATTCATTGCTTCTTATAATGATATTTATTAATTTTTTGTTTCTGATATTGGAATTGAAATATTGAATAGTCAAACTTGGCCAGAAAGGAAAAAGATATTGATCATTCGAGGCAGTATATGAACTTAAATATTAGAATTCACTTCAGTTTCCATGGCATGCTTGATTTTCACATCATGAAGTTGAAAATTTTGGGTTCTTGATAGAGGGGGAAATGTGAGGTCCTTATTGTTTGTTTGCTGATAAGTTATTGCATTATGTTGTGCAGCGAAATTTCAGCCATGACAGGGTTATAGAAGGCTTCAATGTCACAGAAGAAATGTTAAGCCCTGACTCAGTGAGCAGACAAATTAATGATCAGATCTCCCTGGCAAAAGCTTATCTTGTAATTGCCAAAGAAAGTAATAATCAACAATTTGCTTGGGAGTTAAGTGCTCAGATCCGCATTTCACAGATTTTCCTCTCAAATGCTGCCACTAGGCGTGCTCCGTTAACAATAAAGGAATCAGAACATGTTATTGGCGATATGGCGTTAGTACTATATCAGGCCCAGCAGCTCCATTATGACAGTGCAATCATGATCATGAGACTGAAAGGAAAAATTCAAGCTCTTGAAGAACAGATGAATTCTGCAAGTGAGAAGAGTTCAAAATATGGACAAATAGCTGCTGAAGAAGTCCCAAAGGCCCTATATTGCCTTGGTGTCAGGTTGACATCTAGATGGTTCAATGATCTTAGCTTGCAAAAGAAATTGAAGGACAAAAAACAAGTGATGAAACTCAAGGATAATGATCTTTACCACTTTTGTATCTTCTCTGACAACATTCTTGCCACTTCAGTTGCAATCAATTCAACTGCAATAAATTCTAAAAATCCAGATAAGGTTGTTTTCCACCTTGTCACTGATGAAATAAGTTATGCTGCAATGAAGGCATGGTTTGCTTTGAACGATTTTCGAGGCGTGACAGTTGAAGTTCAAAAGTTTGAAGACTTCAGCTGGCTAAATGCTTCATATGTTCCCGTGCTTAAGCAGCTCCAAGACTCAGAGATTCAGAACTATTACTTCAAAGGCAACAGTGATGATAACAAGACTCCGATCAAGTTCCGGAATCCAAAATATCTGTCCATGCTTAACCACCTGAGGTTCTACATCCCTGAAGTTTTTCCTGAGCTGAAGAAGGTGGTGTTCCTGGATGATGATGTTGTGGTTCAGAAGGATCTTTCTGATCTTTTTACCATTGATTTGAATGGAAATGTTAATGGGGCTGTTGAGACATGCATGGAGACATTTCATAGGTACCATAAATATTTGAACTACTCACACCCTCTAATAAGAGCACATTTTGACCCTGATGCTTGTGGATGGGCATTTGGGATGAATGTGTTTGATTTGGTTCAATGGAGGAATAGGAATGTAACTGGTATCTACCATTATTGGCAAGAAAAGAATGCAGACAGAACATTGTGGAAACTTGGTACCTTGCCACCAGGGTTGTTAACCTTTTATGGGCTAACTGAGCCCTTGGATCCATTATGGCATGTGTTGGGTTTTGGCTACACCAATGTTGATCCTCAGTTGATTGAAAGAGGGGCTGTTCTACACTTCAATGGGAACTCCAAACCATGGTTGAAGATTGGGATGGAAAAGTACAAGCCTCACTGGGAAAAATACGTGGATTATTCTCACCCTTTCTTGCAACAGTGTAATTTTCATTGATTTTCAACTACGTTATAATTGGAACTGCACAAAGATTAGACATGACATGATGAATAGTAACCAATAGTTATACATATAGTAACCAATCATTCTTGATACCATTTTTTGTTTTGAAAATTTTGAGGTGTGCAATGACGAACATCCGCATTAACATGGCTTCACAGTTTTAAAGATTTATGCCAATGTGGACTGAGTTACGAACTCATTGGCTGTTAACAATTCTTTTTCACAAAGGATAATCAGGTGATTTTTACTTCACTGTCTTTCAATTTTATTTAGATTAATTTTAGGGAATTGGTTGATTATTCTCTTCCCTAAGATTTTGTTTTCTCCCATGTTAGTTCTACCATTGTTTAGCCTACTGAAAGATAAAAAAGGGAAGCTACGAAATCTTATCCTCTATTATCAGTTTATCATGCCATGAAATTTTTGGTAAGTTTATAATCTCATATGCTCAATGGGATATCTCCTTATTACCCAAAATTTGTTATCATATATTTGTGTAAATTTTTTCAAAAATATTTTTAATTTAGGAGAGAAAAATATGAAGGAAAAAGTTTCAATTACTTTATATATAAGTTAATTTGTAAAAGTTTTCTTATATTAGTTTTTTCAAAATTTTATTTTTAATTCATACAAAAGTTAATTTTAGTTTATGAAAAAAATTATTTTAATTTTTTTTCTAGATGTGCTTCTAAAAAAACTTGTTTAAATAGACCCTTATTCAAACCTCCACACATTTAAGAACAAAAAAATTACATAACATAAAAGCATCCATTTATTTTAGTGTGACATTTTTTAAAAAATCAAATAAAAAAATGAAATTTATATTTCAAGAATTTAAAACTTTATTGAATGGTTTATATTAAGTGTAAAAGTGAGCTAGCCTAGTTTAATCTGGTTGAGCCTTTTTTTCAAAAAGTGATACAATTCAATCGGTATTGCTTTTTTGTAAGTCAAAAAATACATAACTCAACAACATCAACTTGGTTGAGAATGTGAAAAGAAACACGCATTCCACCCACATTAGATTTATGAATTAGGTGAATTGATTTATGACCTGACTCATATAAATAAATAAAAAATTATAAATACAAAAAATAAAGAAAAATAGAAAATACAAATAAAAAAGTCTAACAACACATTAATTCATAATAACAAACCCAAAGAATAACCAAATAAAATAAAAATCTTAAATATTTATAATAGAAAAGGAAAATAAAAAATGAGTTGGGGTAACTTAATCTGAGATGACTTGTCTCAATATGCATATGCTAAGCGAGTTTAGATAAGAAAATTGAAAGAAGAAAAAAAATAAACCAACCACATTTTTAATTTTTTTTTTATAACTTATCTACTTTGGAGCCAATCATTTTCATAATTAATTAACTTATAAGTTGGATTGGGCTATTGGGCTAAGTTAGTTCAAGAATTAAACTCACATTCACAACTCTAATTTATTAGAAAGTTTTGAAACTTTAATCAATACTGAGATTTTCTTACTTTAATGTTGTATTTAATCCAATCAGATTTTCATTAAGTAGGTATAAATAACTCGTGTAGCATAAACAGGAAGGATAATACTAAATTAGAACTGACAATAATGTTTATAATTATAAAGAAATCCCATGAAATTCCAAAGTTAAAAACATCCACTGAATCCATTCAAACTGCCGGCGTTACACGAAGTGACGGAATTCTCACCCTTGTACTTGTCTTTCACAGACTTCACTGTTGAAAGTTAAAACAAACACATCACTTTCCCATATGTGCCTCCAATCAACCACCCCTTTTAACTTACTAAAGCTTTTAAATAACCTCTTTTATTATCCTTGAATGCTACAATATCAGGTGGTGATCGTTATTATCTATGACCCATCATTCCCAGAATTAGAACTATGCGATTTTCAATATAATAAAAATGTTTACAAACATGAATTTTATCTCAATGACTGTAACAAGTTATAACTGAGACTGATCTCAGTATCACTCAAGTCAGAACGATGCATTGGTTATATGACATACTTTAATTTTCAAGTAATATTTAAAACTGATTATTGTTTACGGTTACAGAGAATGATTACTTGCAACAAACAATTAAATTTCCTAATGTGAAATTTGCCATTTATATTTTGCAACAAGAATCCTCACTCTCCCACTCTCTCTCTAATCAAGAACAGAAGATGATTAGATGAACCAAAAAGTGCCGTTGAATAATTGAAACCGAAAGAAAAAAAAGCCCTTCCACATGTGCCGGCGCATATCTCTGTATTAATATTTTGCCGCGCCATTTTCATTGTTAGTGTGACGTTACATTCACAGTCACACATTAAAACCTCCTCACTTCCTCTGTTTTCTGCTAACTCTGCCACACTCTGTTTTGTTCTGTTTCCTTCGTCGACCAACTTTTGTTCTCTTTCCATGAAGAGCGAACCCAATAATGAATTGGTTTCCCCTTACTCTCCCAAACCCAAAACCCGTCATGTAAGTTCCCGGTTCATGTCTTCAATCTCCACCGGTTCACCATCCGGTTCAGCTTCCCCGCTCCGCCGCTTCCACCGCCCGGCGAAGAAGAAATCCACCACCCTCGCCGATTACATCGGCGATGAGAGGCTGAAAGAAACGGAGGAAAATCACCATCACCATAAGAATCAAAAACCCACGAACAGAGCAGGCTCTGTTTTCTCTGTTCTCACAAAACAGAGGAGCTGCAGGGAGTTGAAAAGCAACACCAATGACTTAGAAGAAAACGATCATGACGTTACTGACAGGACCACGGGGAATGGTTTCTCCGGAAATTCTTTTTCTTCGCCGGTGGCGAAGAAACCGAGTTCTTATATTGCTCCTGGAAGACTCTCTCTGGATGAAAACACCCTTAAGAAAAGCTTTCATTGTTCTAGGAATTCAATTGATTTAGAATCAGATAACACTAGTTTGGAGTCTGTTTCTCTTACAAGAACGTGGAGTTCGAGAAAAACGGGTAGGGAGGTTCCGTCTAAGTACATGGCAACAAGGGAAAGGAGAGGAGAAGCTTCTGATTCAGACCCTCATTCTTCTGATGATTCATCATGGATGATGAACAAGTTTATTACACAGAAAGCTATGAAGAAGGCTAATTCGCTTATTGGGTACATGAGTTCCAAGTCCCAGTGGGCATTGTCTCCTGGGAGGTCAGGGTCACCACCTTTGTCTTTAGAAAGCAAGGAAAAGTCATTGCCGTTTTCGAACTTGAGGCCTCCACACAAGAGAATGGAGAAGATTCTGAGCATGGGTTTTGATCTGTTTAGGACTAAGAAATCTTCGACGACCAGGGAGGTGGTTCATCAGTTGCGTCTGCTTAATAACAGGTTAATCCAATGGCGGTTTGCAAATGCTAGAGCTCATGCTGTGAATCACAACATGTCTCTTCAGGCTGAGGTACTACTCACTTTTATTATTTCCCCAAATTCAAGCCAAACTAAAACATGCTAGTAACTAGTAATATAAATTTATTAGATTTTAATTTTTATATACTGTGGACCCGTTACAAATTAGGCAATCAGATATGACTTTTAAGATAGGTATAGTAAAAGTTAAATAATGGCAATCACATTGGATGACGGTGTGAAAACTCTATACTATCATGGCATAAACTATTTACTCAAAATGATTATGTTTCTTTGTGTTTTGGGATTGTTGGTTTGTGAAATGATTTTATATTGGATCTCTAACGGGGTTAATGTTTTGTGAATTGTTGTGTATGTGTTTAGAGCAATTTGATATGTGCTATGGATGGTTTAGCCAAGTTGCGGCACTCAGTGATGCAAAAGAAGATAGAGCTTGAGAGAGAAAAACTTGAGATGAAGCTAATTTTTGTACTGCATTCTCAAGTGAGTGTAGTGGTGTATATCATTTGATTAAGATTGAATTGATAAATCGATTCTAATTGTTGCATATTGTTGTTGTTTTAGAGATGTAATTCTTTATCTTCATTTGTGTATGTTATGGGTTGGTAGATGAAGCTATTGGAAATGTGGAGATTTATGGAAAGGCAACATGTAGCTGCAATTACCGAGATGAAAGAGTGTTTGCATTCTGTTGTATGCAAAGTTCCTCTTTTAGAAGGTGCAAAGGTAAGTCCAAAAAAAGACAATCAGGTCTTATTTCAGTATGAAAAGAAAGAAACTGCATTTACATAATTCTTAATCTTATGCTTATAGGTGGACATACAATTAGCATCTATTGAGCAGCGGCATGCATGTGATTTAGCAGATTCCGTCAAGTCAGTGTTATCAACCTTTTCACCCTTGGTATGTTTGGTAACACTGAACTGATCCTGTTATTATCTAGTGAGGACTTAAAATTGATGTTGAGGTTGAAACTTCTTCATGATCAGGCTGATGAGACTGCCAAGTTGCTATCAGAATTAGCAAGAGTTGTTGCACACGAGAAGTTGCTCTTGCAGGAATTCAATGATATCGTCCACACCATGAGTGTCCTTGAGGTAACTAAATATTGCTTCAATGCCTCTTATCTTTTGTTGTTAATTTTTTTACTGTGCTTCTCTTGTTTTGATGTAAAAAATAAGAAGCAAGAAAGGTTCCACTTAATTAAGCTTTTGTTTAGTTTATTCAAAGCTAAGTTTTGTGGGCAATTTTTGACAAAATAGAAGACTTCTGTTCATTTTACTTGGACATGTTATTTATTGATTGATTTTAACCATGTGTTGGCAGCTTAAAGAACGGAGCCTGAAGTGTAGTCTCATTCAATTTAAGTGTTGAAAAGGAAAATTCAAAAGCTGTAATTTCCGTCAGCGATCACTTGGTAGGTTTCATGTAAATAGTAGATCAGCAAAATTAACAAATTCATATAATCTACATGTAAAGAATAAACTACAAACGAAATTTTGTGGTGAAGTGTTCGTATACAAAGGCTGCTAACATAGCATTAGCATCTGTTCATACAACCTCCAAATTAGATTTTTTTTTCTTTTTCTTTTGGCTGAGCAGACAAGATTTGTTTCTGTTTATCTACTGTAAACTTGTGCAGTGAAAGTATGAACTTCATTATGCAATATACTCGTCTTAGCTCATTCTTTTAATGCTTGTGTTAATTTTGTTTACAATGGGTGCAATGCTTTTATTTATCATATTATAGGAGAACAAACATTACTTTGGGCTTTAGTGCTTGTTTTACTTGAAATTTGACCCAGTAATTTGTAATCAGATCTGAAACCTACTAAGAAATCATATGTTGGAATTTCTTGATAGTAATTAATCATGTTCAATTTATTCAATTCTTTACACTTAAAAGATACTTAAGCGCATTCCTTCCAGAAAACTACCTGCACTCTTAACTTTTTTTCGTTAAGTGCAAATATTTAAGCATAAATAAAGTGCAATAATTTCATCACATTTTGTTCCTTCATTGATGATACATCTGCTGATAGTAGCTACCACTATGCAAAATGAATTGAACATTTCAACCCTCCTACGATTTGTACAGCATCTTTTCAGTGCACGTTTGCTTACATGGTATTGGTGCGTCCAATCATATCTGCATCCAACAGAAGCTACTTGTTGTAGCTTATGCATTATTTTAGTTAATGGACGTGATTATGGTGATTGATGAGTGTCTATGATGTCATTCCAAACACACACACTCGCCTAAAGGCTCCTAAAATATAAATACACCTTTGGATTATATTAGTTTACTGAAAGGTCAATTTGTCATTTTATAATTTTTATTGACAAAGTTATATGATGTACGAAAAAGTCAGAAGTTGACTCTCCATTAAATGAATCTCAAAATGTTCCAAGTTTTGGTTGGCACATGAAGAATAATGCAACCTTCTCCAAAGGGATCCTTATTTTGTCTTTCTTTCCATTCGGTCAAAGTTATTGTATGCTCATTTTGCGGTGCAGGACCTGCAACCTTCTGTTGAGTGTTAAGAGATCTTTACCCTAAGAGGATATCAATTCATTGTAAGAAAATTAGGGGCAACGCATTATCCAATTGAGAATTTTTGTCACGTAGCATTAGATACCATTTTCCATTATCAGGAATCATTAGGGACTGAAATTCACTCATTATGGAGTATAGTTCCTTACTAGATAATGAAAATACATAAAAAGATAATATGACCTCAATTCAGACATCAGAATCCAACACCGTCCACTTGAGTCTACTAACATTACTACATAAGTTTAGATAAAACTGATTTTTCTGCCAAATTGCATTATCCAACAAAGCAAACATTTCCAAGAGGACATCTTTTGAGTTGTCTAAAGTTGTATTTAGAGCAATTTGTTATTTGTCTTAAAAACTTATTTAAAGTTAAAACTCATATTATGAGCTTTAATAAAGTAGAAATCATTTGATTATTTTTAGTTTTAAATCTTTTTTTAAACTACTAGTTATGTAATAAAAAGATTAAACTTATTTAAAATTAATTACCTCATTCGATAGAAAACATATTCACAAAAAAAAAAAATATATTCTACAAAATTATTTTAATTAATGTAAATTTATTTGAATGACAACAAAAACACGTAAAAGTATTAAATTATGTATATTTAAAAATTTTAATTTATTTTTATTTTAATTATTAAAATTATTTTGTAGATGATTTTTGAAATTTTTTTTATATCAATACTTATATATTAAACGTAAACTATTATCTTGTACAAAAATGTATTTAGGAACTATTTTTCAACGAGAACAACTTTAAGGATATATACAATTTTTTATCTAATTTAATTTTTTTTATTATATTTATTTATAGATTAAATTTTAATATTTAAAAACATATTCTCAATAATTAAAAATAATATTGTATTGCAATATAAATTATTTATCTTAAATCTAAAATATAATTTATACAGTTAAAAATATCTATTTATATGAATGTTGATCATTTCTCTACAAAATGATTTCGTAAATAAATTAAATTGAATTTACATTGAATCCTATTTTCACAACTATATTAAAATAAAAAATTTAAAATACAATTTTATTCTATTAATTATAAATTTGTATCAAGTTTAAATTTTAAAACAATTATTATAAAATTAATTTTTTTATATTTCAAATTACTAGATAAGAAATGACAATCCAAGACTTCAGGGAAAAATAAGAAATCTTCTTGAGCATAATTTTATTAATCACTATTTATCTTAAATATAAATATAATCCGTTTAAAAATATTTATTTATAAAATATTTAATATAATATTTATTTGTATATATAATTTATTATAAAATTTAGTTACATGTAATAAACATGTCCATGAAATATATAGACTAAAATACTATATAATATATATTATTAAATAAATAAATTTAAGTAAGAATTAAAAAAGATAAAATATTTAGAAACTATTACTACATTATTGTTTCACAATATTTTCATACGTTAAAATAATTTATTTAAATAAATTCAATAACGTAAATATATACTGAACTAATTTAATAAATAACCCAATTTTCTTAATAAATATATTATTGTAGTTAAAGATTTAAACACGAAAAGATGTTTGACCCCACTTCTATTTTCAAAGATAACATGAAATGAAGAAAAATTGTCCAAACACATTGGACAAGGCAATATAGCCAACTACTTCTCAAATTTATCCCCAAGCAAAACGCTCTAACTTTACAATACTATCATTTTTCAAAATGCTATGATTATTATTTTTTTAAGGTAAAATGTTATTTACTTCAGTTTTTTTATATGTTCATAAAAAAATTTAAGTGAAAGATGGTTAAAACTCCGTCACTCTCGGCGATTACATAGACAACGAAAGGCTCTGAACAAAACCAAACCCATCATCATCAAAATCTCTGTTTCCTCTGCTCTCACAAAACAGAGGAGTTGCAGGGACTTCTCAAACAACACCAATGTCATCCAACAAAACGATGATGACGTTGCATGGAGTTATAATTTCTCCAGAAAATCTTTCTGTCTGTCGGTGAAGAAACCAACAAAACATGGCATCGAGAGAAGGGACTTCTCATCATGATTCATGGATGATGAAGACACACAAAGTGATGAAAAAGGCTAACAATTCACTTATTGGGTACATGAGTCACAAGCCTCATTGGCCAATATCTCCTGGGAGTGTGGAGAAGATTCTGAAGCCCCAACACAAGAATGTGGAGAAGATTATTAACATGGGTTTTGATCTCTTCAAGAACAAGAAAACTTCAAACCCTGAGCAAGTTCATCAGTTGCGTTTGCTTGAAAACCATTTGATCCAATGGCGCTTTATAAATGCTAGAGCTCATGTTGCCAATCACAGATTGTCTCACATGGCTCAGGTATTGCTCACACTTTTCAAAACATATATGCTGGTTTGGGATATTTGATAACATAATGAAAATTCTTTATATTACTTACTCATAATTATTATGTTTCTTTGTTTAAAGATTTGGGATTGTTGGTTTATGGTTTTATATTGCATTTCTGATGGGATTAATGATTTTGTGAATTGTTGTGTATGTGTTCAGAGCCATTTCATTTGTGCTTTCAATGATATAGCCAAGTTGCGACAATCGGTGGTGCAAAGGAAGAAGGAGATTCAGAGAGTAAAGCTTAAGATGAAGCTAACTTCTATACTACATTCTCAAGTGAGCTGAGTGGTGTAGCTCGTTTAATTAAGATTAAATTGATTCAAATGGATACTAATTGAGACGTGCATTGCATTATTCCATTATTGTTTTGGAGGTTTAATTCTTTATCTTCATTTGTGTATGTTTTGGGTTGGTAGATGAAGCTATTGAAAATGTGGCGAAAAATGAGAAGGCAACATGTAGCTGCAATTACCTTGATGAAAGACTGTTTGTATTCTGTTGCATGCAGAGTTTATCTTTTGGAAGGTGCAAAGGTAAGTCTAACTAAAGACATTTAGTCCTAAAAAAAAAGACAAAACTTACATGCATTATCATAGGTTGTTCGTCGATCAGAATTAAAGTTCACTTTAGTAACATGCATCATAAATGATTTCATTAAATTTCAAACATGTGTTGTTAAGATAAAATTTCAATTCTAATTGCAAAACAGTAGTTATGACACTGTATATAAAGATTGCAATTACATGCTTATAATTATGCTACCAGGTGGATGTGCAATTATCATCCATTTATCAGAGGCGTGCAGCTGATCTAACAGATTCCATGAAGTCAATGTTATCTAGTTTTTCACCCTTGGTATGTTTGGTAATGCTGCACTAGTTATGTTATTATCTGGTGAGGACTTAAAATAGAAATTGAAATTGCTTCGTAATCAGGCTGATAAGACTGCTGAGTTGATATCAGAATTAGCAAAAGTTGTAGTACAAGAGAGGTTTCTCCTAGAGGAATTCAATGATATCTTCCACACCATGTGTGTCCTTGAGGTAACTAAATATTGCTTCAGTGCCTCATTTTTTACTGTTATTCTTTTACTTTTTTGTACATCACTTCTCTTTTTGATGGAACAAATAAGAACCAGGTTCTACTTGGTTAAGATTATGTTTATGTCAACCAAAACAAGATTGTGTGGTCAATATTTGACAAATTATAAGAGTTTAGTTCATTTGTTATTTACACATGAAATGCTTTACCTATTGTTATTTGTTTTTTAATTTTCACTATGTGTTGGCAGCTTCAAGAAAGTAGCTTGATTTGCAATCTCATTCAACTTGAGTGTTGACAAGGGAAATATCAAAAGTTGCAATTGCTATCAGAGATCACTTGGTAGGTATTGATGTAAATAGTAGATCAACAAAGTTAACAAATACCTATAAATATGGTCTATATGTAAACAATAAACTAGAAGCGAAATTCAATTGGAAAGAATTATTCGTATGTAAAGGCTGCTAACATGGCATTAGCATTTGTTCATACTACCTCCAAATTAGGATGTTTTTCTTTTCTTTTGGCCGAGTATGCAGGTTTAGTTTCTGTTTATCTAGGTAAACCTGGGCAATGAAAATTGAACTTCGTTATGTAGTATACTTGTGTCTGTTTATTCATAATATTTGTTACATTTTGTTACAATGAGTGCAATGCCCTCATTATATTAGAAAGAAGAAGAAAAAAATAATCATTATTTTGTGCTTTGGTTCTTGCATTGGAAATTTCTTATTTTACTTTAAAATTGACCCACTAATATTCAGTTAAAACTAAAATTCTACTAAAGTGCTAAAATGCAATCGTTATTTTGTTAAAGGAAATCTTAGAAATACACCATCTAATACATTAATTTGAACACTCTAGTTATCATTAGTTGAAATTTATTTATTAGAAATGACCAACAATTTTTAATCAGATATGTTAATGGGGGATTTTATCGCCTGAATTCATACATCACAATCCAACATCATCCACTTGAGTGTGCCAACAAAGTTACTAATGATAAAAAAAATTATATATATATATATATATATATATTTTTTTTTTTATGAACATAATCAACACAATTTCTTAAATTTGTGACTAATATATGCTTACATGGTGGCCGAAACAATTATATTTAAATTAAAGCCCGTAAAATTTCACATTTTATATTAATCAAATCATGCAAGCAATTTGAGATAATGATCTAATGGGAAAACAACGCAAACTCTTTAAGAAAATGCTTCAGAGCATGAGAGACAATTTAGTTCATATTCATAGATATAATACATTTAAATTATGTAACTAGACAAACATTTCCCTAGGACATATTTCGATCTGTCTAAATCCAAGCCAATTGATAACATGATATAAGCAATAATGCTTCAGATAATGTGGAATTCTTTTGTAGAGAAAGGCGCAATTCTTGAGAATGGCCACAACAAAATTTGTACAAGATGAGAAAAAGAAAAAAAAAAAAAAACTTGTGTTATGCTTTTACGAGTGCATCGAGTTAAATACTTTTTTTTACATAATGAGTTTAAACACTTACACAAGCAACAATGAAATATGCAAATTTAAGTGAGTTTCAAATGGATAAAAAGGTAAAAGTAGGTACATCAAGAAAAATATAAAATGAAAGCCTAATAAGTGGTAATATTGCTAATCCTTGGGATTCGACTTCTCAAATTCATCTCCAAAACATTTCTTACTTTAAAAGGCTCCCGTTTTACAAAATATTATTTACTTCAATCTTTATGTTCATAAAAAATTATATATATATCTAAGCCAAAAATTTGTGAAGTTGAGAATTAAAATAGTTAAAACTTATAATTTAAAAATTAAAGTAAGAATTAACTCAACTTAAAAATTTAAAATAACTTTCTTAAGTGAAATTTATTATTAAATAATTCTAAATAAAATTCAAGACAAACTAAGATGAGCTTTGTGATACTCATATATGTAAAGTAACAAAGAGTTGATTTTGCATTTTAGATGTGAATTTTGATAAACTTGTCATTAAGGGTGGAAATAAGTTAAACTAGTTTTGTTTGGCAGATTTGTTATGTTAGAGTCAAATTTATTTACTTGTCAATGATATAGATAATTTTTTTTAAGTTTAGTATTTTTTTTCATAATTATAATCCATACAGTATCTTAAAATTAATAATTAAAAATTAATCTGTGTTTACAGGCATACATAAAAATTTATCCAAATTTATAAATATTATTTAAAAATTTATTTTGTAATGATTTAACACTAAAATAGAAGTAAAATATGTTAAATTTTTATAAAATTTGAAACTATTTAAAAGCATATTTTTAAAGTCCAGTATGATATTTATAGTAATAACTTATCTTAAAAAATATAATAATATCTTTAAATGTGATAAAAAGAATTTAGCTATTAATAGCTTTATAAACTTCACCTTTTATATAAGAGACTGACTTTTAAATTTTAAGTTTGATAGACTTTTTAAATAGTCTAAAATTTTATCTTTTTATTAAAAGATTTTTAATTTAACCTATTTTCTAAAAGTAAATGGCCTAATTCAAACATAATGTAAGTTACAGTGATTTAAAACCCGGATCGAATCGGCCGGTCGGACCAGTTAGATCGGGAACCGGTGATTTAACTGGTTTGAATCTTAAGTTGGATCGGTTATGCAGTCGACCCGTTTCAAATTGAATTGACCGGTTCAACCGGTAAACCAGTGGGTCAAAACGGTTCAACCACTTTTTTTTTTCTTTTTTTTTAAATTTTTTTAAGGGACCATAAATCACAAAAATAATAATAATAATTGAATCTCTTAATGGAAGAGCAAAGAGTCTTATTAAATATAATAATGACTACTTGTTCTAATATATTTGTTTCTAATATATACAACTTAAATAATTTTTATAATATATTATTAATTTTAAATTATATATTTAATAATACAATATCTATGTAAATATTACATATATTATTTTGTGATATTAATTGCAAGCATATTATATATGTACATATTATTTATATTTTTAATTTGTATTAATATACTGTTTAACATGTAATTTTTTTATGTATTTTTTTACAAAATAAAAATAAAAATAATTTTAAATAATATAGAAAAATTAAAATTTAAAATAAGATATGAATTTATTAAAATTTATAAGTATAAAATATATTTAATATAAATATTTTTTAATAAAAATAAATAAAAATTGAGTCACGCGGTTTAACTAGTGACCCACCGGTTCAACATTTGACCCATTAATCAAGTACCTTAACCGGTTCAATGACCGGTCCGATTTTTAAAACTATGGTAAGTTATGTCATATGTCTCTAAAGAGCAACTTGACTTATTTCTATTTTTATTTGTCATCAAATCCTTTATAGTAAAACAATATATCATCTCCTAACTTTCTATATTACTACAAAATGAAGATGATTTAAAACCAATTCACAATTTTCTTTAAGATTTGAGTAAGAAAAGTGTATTTTAAAAATAAAGTGTACTTTTTTTAAAAAAAATATTGTTGTGCAACAAATTTTATAGTAAAGAGATAAAAAGATAGAAAAGAGAAAGAAGTTAATGATAGAGTAGAGAGAAATAATGTAGAAATAAAATTATATAAATTGTTGTATGTATTATCACTATTTTTTTTTATCTTAATTTTAACCCATTTGTGATTTAAAATGTACTTGTAGTAGCTCGTAAAAAATATGAGTAAGAAATAGAGAAGTTTTAAATTTCTAAAATATTATACAAAATTAGTTTTTACTTTTTAGATACCTAATATGTTATTTAACTATTAAACACGTATGGAAGTATATATATATATATATATATATAAAGAAATCAAAGTGGTGATGAAATATTTTGAAGAAAAAAAAAAAAGAGATTTTCTAAATATTAAATAGTCATAGTATGAGAGAGTATTACTACTATTAGTACTAGATTAGTGGAGTCAAAACGACAGAAATAGGCGGTCGTTTTGAAATGCCCCTTTGGGCATTTCAGTCCCCAATAGCATCAACAACACCACAGCGCTCATTCGCGAAGCCATGGCCTCTCTTGTTCGTGGAGCCGCATCTCTTACCCGCGTTGGTCTCTCCTCTTCCAAGACTCCCATTCAACTCATCCACCGCCGCGGCCTCGCCGGAGCCGCCGGGATTTCTCTTTTCATTTCCTCAAACTCCGACGTATCACTTTCGTTCCACTGTGTATGCATTCACAATAGTCTTATTCGAAATCCTAACCGCGGAACTTTTCGTTTCGCTCTCTCGTCTGTGTCCGCTAATTTTACGAGAATCTAGGAATCGGAGGTGGTGTGAAAAGCACTGCTAGGGAAATGCTATTTGGTTGGAATGTGTCAAATCAGATTTTAAAAATTACAGTTTTGATCCTTTGCTTAGTTGTTAAATGTGACAGGAACAAGGTGTATTCATTCAGGAGGAGAAATGATTGAACTTGATTGAAATTAATCTAGGTCTTAAGTCTTGTTTATCCATTTCGTGATGGTGGAACAAAACAGGGAGATTTGGTTTTGGTAGTTTAATGTAGCTTCGTGTACCCGAGTCAATAATACATGGTTGATGTTTCTGTTTTTCTGTATTGTGGGAAGAGGTTTATTTTGTGTGTATTAGGTCTGTGTTTAGTGCACGATTCTGACGTGTTGAATCGATTTATATTTGTGGTATGATAATTGCAGATCACCATGGCCCTCCAAAAGTTGACTTCTGGAAAGATCCAATGAGCCCGTCTAAATGGAAGGAAGAGCACGTGAGTATCTGGTTTTGTGTTTGAAGATCTACTGCACCCTGTTGATTTTAATTATTGATTTTTGCCATGAGCTGATTGGATCGCTGTTTTGGAAATTGAAAATGTGTTTGAATATTCTTTTGGCTGGTTGTTCTTGTGGTTCAGTTTGTGATTATATCTTTAAGTGGCTGGGGGCTACTCTTCTATGGGGGATACAAGCTCTTCACAGGAGGCAAGGGCAAGAAAGAAGAGGTACTTTCAATTTATGCTTAAATTGTTAGAGCTAGGGAACCATGAACCATCTATTGGATAATGCCACTCAAATATGAGATATAGAAAACTGTAAAATTTGTAGGATACGGCTCAGCTATGGTACAATATATAAAATTATTTTGTAATTAACATCAACGTAAAGCACAAATCTTAAATCAATTTAAATAATTTATTTTTTAAAAATGACCACAAGTCATGACATGCTACAGGTTATCTAATTAATATGATATTCTCATTGTATTGGTGTAAAAGTTTAAAAAATAATAGTATAAAGAAATTATAAAATGCAGCTAAGATTATTGGAATAACCAACATTGGTATGTATCTGACACGGGTATGACATGACATGACGCAACTATTTTTAAGTGTCTGCTTGTAACCAAGTTCATTATGAGTCTGTCTAAGTCTAACCTTGTTTGATATAACTGAGTTATGCAATTCTGTTCTGCCATTAGTCAAAAGACTTCTTTCCCACTGTTTAAGATTCTAAAATATTTCCATTGTTTTAGTTCATTGCCTTAATTCTGCACAATATATCTGTAGTAGTTTGGGAAAATTCTTCATACTCAAATAGATGGAATGGAGATCAACGAACTGGAAGTTTTGATTGGGGTTCCAATCAAGAGCCAAGGAAACTGTAGCATTTTTCATTTGAAAGTTTTGAACGATATGATTATTTAATGAAATGTTGGTTCGCTACTTCTACTTTGTTGTCACTGAAGGCTGTTTATTTTTTGATAAACAATATTGTAAGGCAATATAATAATCAGACCAGCTCAGACCTCAGAGGGTTCTATACTTCAATGGATCGGTAGGTCTGAAAAACAGATAAATCTATACTATTAATAAAGGGGATTCTCCTATTTGGTATCCATATTTTTTGGACAATTTTATCATAACTATCTTTTTAAAAGTTACAATTTTTTTATTCTTTTTAACTGCCTGTATTTTTAATAACTACTCACTTATATAATTTTTATTATTTTATAAAAATAATTCACGGAGTACGCAAGTTGTTATTATATTTCTTAAGTGCATTTTGTATCTTCTAATATTTAATTTAGGGCAATGGAAATTATTGAAGCATAGTTCTAGTGGTGAATTTTATTATATTGACCAAAAAAAAATATAACTACGTCTCCGTTATTGAACAGTTATGTTTAAAACAGTTAGTTAGTGAACTTGTTAATCTCAATTAGATTAAGATTAGATAGCCAATTGTGTTCAACAAAATAGTGTACTGACATTTTATACTATTTGCTTCTTATTTATGAGGTGTCAATTATAGTAATCGCATCCTGAATGTTTTGAATATTTGCAGGAATCGATAAAAGCATCATCACACTGAAGTCTGGAGAATATTTACAATTCAAATTGTTCTTGATAATAATGCGAACGGCCAGACTTTTGAGTTTTTCATACTCAGTCTTGTTTGATGACAAACAAATATTGTCTAGTTATCCATTAATCTTTGCAGACAATGAATATTGGGAGATGATTTTTTCCAGAACAATGTGTTACATTTAAGTTTATATATGCCAGTTTTGTGCTAATTCCTGCCTTCCGATACATTTTCAAGCATTTACTTTTATTGACACACTACTGAAGGAAGTTATATTATGTTCTTGCCTTGTGAATACTTGAATGATCCTAATACCAAGGTCAAAAAAGAGAAAGTATCCATTTTCTTTGACGCTAAATAATTCTCTCAATAATGTTTTGTTTTGTGTACAACTATGTTGGAAGTTGCAACTAAAAAACAAAGTCTATCAATAAAACTTTGTTTTGTGCAACTAGATTGGAAGTTGTAACTAAAAAAAACCTATTTCAAGTTGCAACTAAAAAAACAATGTCTATCAATAAAAACTTTGTTTTGTGCACAACTAGATTGGAAGTTGTAACTAAAAAAAATAATCCTATTTCAATTTGTCGTTGTAGTAATTTGAGCAAAGTAGTCATTTTTTCAAATGCGCAGATCTTATTCAGAGAATAAAGATTTTGTATTTTGAATTTGATTTATCTATGTTGAATCTGTGGAGGGTGACTCTACGATGTTGTCTGTTTAGTGTTGAAATTGAATGTTACAAAATTTTAATAGTTAAGAAAATTGGTCTAAATGTAAATTAAAATGTCTGTCATAATATTAGTAAAATTAAAAAAAACTCTCAACTTTACCCACATTTTCCTCCTAATTGAAACATAAGCAACTAATTTGAAATATTTATAAGCACACCAAAGTCCACATCCACTTCACTACTCTAGCATGGATGATTCATCTTTCTCTTCTCTGTATTCACCCTTCTCATCCTCAGATTCAGATTCCTTTAAGAAATCATCATCATGGCCATTGTCAGTCGCATCTTTCTCCTGTGTTTGTACATCCTCTAATTCTTTTAGCTCTTCAGGTAACACCTTGGATTTTGTTAGTCCTGCATTCTTGTTAGCTTTGTTGATATGCTTCTTGCTCCAGTTTTGTTGGATAATACTCTTTTCATTCTCTTCCGACTGTCTCATTTCATCCAGTTTCTGTTTCTCTGGGTATATGTTAGTTCCACTATTTGTCACCCACTGATTTGTATCATTCACCTTCATGTCATTGACATCTTTGTTTTCAGGCTTTAGCAATTTGGCTTGTGGCTTGCCTTTTCTTGGGTTATCATTGTCCCTCTCCTCATCTTTTCTTGCAAAACTTTCCTCATCAGAAACTTTTCCAACTCTTCTACCTTTCAACTCATCTTTGTTAACCTTTCTATTGTTCATGAGGTTATCAAAAACTCCATTGTTCTCCATCAAACTATTTTTCACAATGCCTCTCCGATTCCCCTTTTTTCTGCTTGCACGGCCATGTTTCTTCTTCATCCCAGTAGATTGTTTCACCTTAACATCCTGACCTTCACCTTCTGTACTATTCTCTACTTGTGCTGCATTCTCTTCTCTTATTGTTTTCTTTTCTCTTTCATCCACCACTTCAGCATCATCAATATCTTTTGCCCTGACACCACCTTCGTCTTGAGGATCTTCATTTGTCTTTCCTACCTCCCTATTAGTCCGAATTTCATCTTTTATCTCAGTTCCAACATCCCCATCTTTAAAATCGGTTAATTCACTTTTACTTGCATCCTCATCGTCTTCACCCTCATATTTGAAAGAGTCATCTTTGTCACTTTCATCTTGTGCTGTCATTGTTTCATTTGCTCTCTGGCTTTCAGGAAAGATGGTTTGATTATCATTAACAGGGATTTCAAAGCTGCGCTTCAAGTCCTTTATCTCTTCTTCCTTATGCTCAAGATTCTCCCTTAATGCTACTATTTCAGAGCCTCCTTCTCGCACATTGCGTTCCTTTTCTTGCATCAATCTCAGCTCATTCTGCTGCTCCTCAAATGCTGATTCCATCAGTTTCTGCTCATCTTTCAGTGAATTCAGGGTGGATTGCATCTCCACAACTGTTCTACCTAGCTCCATCTTCTTACTTCTCAGGGCGTAGATCTTCCCCTTCATCTCTTCGTTCTTCCCTCTCAACTCTTTGCTGCGATCTCTTTCCTTCTACATTATTAAGGTAACATAAATACAGTCACTTATGCTCTAATCAATCTACTTTAATACCAAACTAGCATTTTGCACTATTGAATCAAAAGAATATTGAAAATACAGAACATCTTCATCATATTATTTCATCCTACCAAGAAACTTTTGGTAATGCACCCCAAAACAAATCATCAAGAGAATTTGTGTGACTGTTTATTGCATGATACAGGATAAGACTGTGTGTGTGTTCTTAGGATGCTTTATTTGTTTATTGCATGTATCTCCTTACTGTCGTGATAGTGAATAACAGGTAAAAGTAAGAAAGAGAAACCAAGAGAGAGGGTGACCTGCAGGAGAAGCTGAAGGGCAAGAATCTGGTGGTCTTTCTCCTTGACAATAAGGGCATAGATGCGTCTCTCTCTTAGCTTATGAAGCACCATAACCCCAAGCAGTGCCACCCCAAATGTGATCAGCAATATCAACGCATAAGGCCTTCCTCTGTGACTCCCTCCACTGCTATGTAAATGCAACCCCTTGTTGTAAGCCATCTCTCTCTTCCTCAGTGCTGATGAATGATGATCAACAATATATATTCAACAACACTACCAAATATAAATGTATTCTTTGTTTTTCTGTGTCCTTGGAAAGGAACAGAGAAGAATCTTCTGGGGCCTCTCTCTCTCTCTCTCTTCCTGAAGAGTTAAGAGTTAAGATTTTGGGTTGCTTGTCATGCAAAAAGAAGGACCCACCTACTCATATATGCGATTGCGGAGTTCACAAAGTGGAGTGTGCATGAAAATTGTGTCAGTGGAGTTCATTCTGGGACAGCCACTTTCTGTTTCCCATGCTCCTCTTATTTTTACCATAACACCCTCTTCTATAAAATATACTATTTAAAAAAATTAGTTTAGGACAACTCATACAATATTTATTTCAATATTAATATTTTTTTTACAGTACATTAGTATTAATTTGTTATTAACTCAGTTTAAATTTATTTTTTCATATTATGCAGTTGAAAGTGTGTCCATCATTTAAATTATAGATATGATTCTTTGCAATCAGTTACCTAATGACGGATCCAATGAGTTACTTCCAGTGAAAGAAATTAAGGTCGCGGTGCACGTGCTGTGAAATGGGATGAATGGGTATGCGTGTACATCTATTTACTTATTTTTAATTTAAAAGGTATTTTCATTTGTAAGTTACTAATTGACATTAATTATTAAAATTTAAAATCCCTTTCAATTGTTGTGTGGCTGTAACATGTTGTTTTTATGAGAAATTAGGCTATATAAAAAATAATTTTACATGAGATTATTAATTTTTATAGTAATTATCTTAAAAGGGATATCAATATTTTTATATAGCTTATAAACTTTTATAGCATGTTGGGGAGTATTAATTTAGAGAAGTAATTTCTTTTTCTTAATAAAAAATATTTTATTGTAGAAAATTCTTTGTATTTATTTTTATATTTAAAAAATAAGGTGTTTACACTCATCTATTCCCCTAAATAATAAATGTGAACAGGCTGTATGACTTATAAGTCTTGAGTATAAACGGATACTAATAATAATATGTTTTTATTGGGAAGTGTTGGTTGAGTGTATACGTTAAGCCATGCTATTCTGTGAAGTCTTTTTTTTTTTTTTTTCTTCTTCTTTCGTGAATGCCACATTTGTTTTGAGTTGTTGCCTACTTGGCTACTTGCATTCATTAAATTATAATTTTGATCTAGACTCATTTTAATTTTTTATCTTTTAAAATATTTATTATAATTTTTTATTTCTTAAATTTAGATTAATTTAATTTATTTAAAATAATAATTATTTTTAATTTTGAGACATATTTTAGATTATTTTTTAAATAATTTAAGACTTGAAATTAGTCTCATTAAATTCATTTATATGAAAATTGTTGAACACAATTAAAATTTAAATAAAAAATTATAAATATGTTAAAGAATTACATAAAAATAAATCCAAAAAATATTAAAGATTCAAAAACTATAATTTATATTATTTTAGTTTTTTATTGAATATTTTTCATACGATTTTTATTATGTTATAGTTCTTATAGATTTAAACGTCAATTGAATTTTATAATTTTTATATAATTAAATCTATTATTATAAGTTTTCATCTCAAATTGATTGAAAGTTAATTCAAAATTGTGCGGTAAAATTAAAAATCATTGTTGTTTTAAAGAGAAAATTTTATTCAAATATAAAAAATAAAAGACTAAAATAAACATATTAATATATAAAGGACTAAAATAAATCTAAAAAATAAAATAAAGGATTAAAAATGTAATTTAGGTTAACAAAATTTATGTGAACATTAATTTCATTTTTTTTCCTAATTGTTATAGCTGCTTCATTAATATTATTTTTTTTTTGACAAATCGAACATTTTAAAAATAGAAGAACCATCTATAAAAAAAATAGAAAGATTAAATTGAATAATAATCGATAAATAATTTAGGAAAAAAAGTACTTAACTTTCTTAAATTTCATCATTTTTACAAATAAACACTACAAATTTTAAGTTTATTTTAATTGATCCTTAAAATTTGTCTTGTTACAAATGGATCATTGGTTGCAATTTTATCTTTTATTAATTCCTTTTTTCTTTTTAAAAGTCTCTTATATTACACTGAGATTAAATTATTAAGATAAAAAAAATATCAATCATTTATTTATTTTAAATCATATTTATTTATTAATTTTTTGGGACATACATATTAGTTTTATTTTCATATATATTAAAATACCATATAATTTAGAAGAAGAAAAAGTCAAATAAAGACTTCTTTTTATTATTTTTATCATTATTTTTTATTTTTTCTAAACACGTATTTGTGTTATATTTTGAAGAAAAAAAACTAACTGTAACATAAAAAGAAAAGGATTAATAAATAACTAATATTTAAGATAAATAATTTAACTCTAAATTTTTTGATACGAAAACTTAATAAAAATAATAAATTATTAAATGTTAAAATCAATTTAGAATGAAATTAAATTTGAGGTGTTTATTTGTAATAAAAAAATAGAGTAAAATTTAAGGACTAAGTGAAAAAAAATTAAAGTTCATGATATCTATTTAATTAGATAAAAATTAAGGATTGATTAGGATAAAATAAAAATTTATAGTATCTAATTGTAAAAAAAAGTAAAGTTTAAGATGGTTGATTACTCTTTTTTCAATAATATATACTTAAAGGGAAATATTTAAATAAGTATTTTATTTATCTTAAATTTATTTTAGATTAAATTAAACCAATAAAAAAATGAAAAATCCTTAGTTTTTTCTTTCTTTCAGCTATTGAACTTATTCAAATAAAATCCAAATTTTAAAGCAATGATTAAAATTGAAAGAAAAAAAATCGTGAAAACAAACTTAATAAATTCAACAGGATGACATAACAATTGAGTACTTGAAAATCAAAAAATTGATCACAAATGATCGATTAATTCAATAAAAAAAAGATATGCAAGTAAAAGAAAATTTAAATTTATTTAAAATAATAATAAATTTGTTAGTTAAATTATTATTCAATTAGGTCTTTTTCTTTTTTAAAATGATCAATTAATTTAATTCTTCTATTTTTAAAATTAACTATATTTCATCTGATTTTTAAAATGTTAGCTTATTTTCCTAAAAAGAATGGTTAATCATTTTAATTACTTGTACGCGTACTATGTACATTTATTTACACATGTCAGTAATTCACCACCTGATTTCAGCAGGCCCCACACTAAACTATTTTGGTACCTACACTTTGACTTTTGATATTGATACCTATCTGAAGAGATATGTTAACGGTGTCGGTGGGTGTTCTGCAAGAAGCATTATTCTTCCCCTAACAATCACTGCAAAACTTTCCTAGGTGCTTTGTTTCCTGTTATTTGTGTACAAAACTTACATCTTATTATTCTTTACTTTTTTCTACAGATTTTTATATCTTTCTCAGAAGACATCTTAATTTATGAGGGAAAAACAATAGTTGAGTCAAAACTTTTGAGGTTAATGCACATGTAATAAAGTTGACAGGAGCAAAAAATTCAAAAAGATAAAAAGTACTTTATCCTAGTCCTAATGCATCCAACGGTGGACCATACCTGATGACTAATGAGCAAAGAATCCATGTGAAGCCGTGAAGGACATGTGCCCTTGAATTTGAATTAAAGGCATGTCCCTTGAGCTGTGCCCTATCATGTTCATGGTTGTACAGCAGCACTAGAATTGCAAGCATGGTTAGTGCTAGGGGTAGCCAACATTACAAACATGTAAAATTCAGTTCTCAGCATGACAGCATGACAGGAGTGTGTTTAACATTTTGCATTGAATAGTAATTATATGGACAAAATAGTATTTTAAACGAGACAATTCCCACCTCAAACCTAGCTTAAGTCTAAATCCAAATTTTGGGATATACAACTGCATTTCTAACTTGATCTAAACAACGGAACACATGTTTAATATTGAATTGAATAAAGTGCATGTAATGCCTGACTAAATATTTATCCATAAGAAAATAGAAAACCAACCAAAGTCCACTATGAAATTTAATTGCCTTTTGTAACTCAACAAAAAGTGTTGTAATTGCATGAATGGTTGGCCGGAACTGCAACCAAAAGTGTGTTTAGACCGAAACAAGCACCAAAACTGCTGGTGTGAGTGCTTGTTGATTGTTAATATGAACCTATATTGAACACAAAATTCTGACCTTTTACATCAGATATATATCATCTATAACCACACCTATGTACACTTGACATCATTCATCCTATTTGAAGGGTACCTCTTTGTCACAAACACTGCTTGTTTAGAGATTCTTTAGATAACAGAACCTGAATCAGCTCATGTAGCCTCTCAGCACCAGGCCCTGGCCTAAACATTGTATCATTGCCACGAACAGAACAAGGGTCAGCCCCACCATCTGAGGTCCCAACACACCATGCCCCAGGTGAAAATCTATGTGTGCGCCCCAGAAGTTCTTTGTCAATCTTGTCTAGCACTGGATCATTCTTCGCAAACTTGCGCGCAAAAGGCGCCTTGCTTTTAACCATTTTATCGAAGTCCTTCATAGTTAAAGAGATGGGATGCTGCTTTGGGGGAGTGTCCCAAGCAATGTAGTGAAGATCATGGCTTATTGCAGTGTGACGGAATTCTTCATTGTTACAAATGACAGTGTGAAAATATCCCTCTGGTGAGGAGATGAAATTTGTATAGTACATTAGCATAGTCCGCGGAAAGTTATCCCATCCCCATATACAGTACTCCACAAAGGACCGAGTCAGTACAACCCAAGCTGAACCTGTTTACATGGCATAGACAAAAATATAGGGATCTACCATGTTGATTGCCTATGTAATACCAAAAAATATGTAATCATGCTAGCTAGCTAGATATTCTACAATCTTAAAATGCTAAGTTTAAAATTTGCAATAGAAAAAAAAATTACAAATGTATGTAAATAGATATAGAAATACCAGTAAACAGTTTAAAGGATGTGGGAAGTGTTCTACGTTGAGTAGTCAATGCTAAATCAGATTTCTTTGATAAGTAAAGGGCAGGATCAATAATGATGGGTCTTGCTCTTTGGTTCCTGCATATAAGCAGTAGCACAAGGAAATCTCAATCAACTGATATAGTAAACAAGGGGCGACATGCAGAAAGAGGGGAATATAATTTAAAGACAATTTTAAGATGAGTAACAGTACAATTCACTTACAGTTTCCAACCAGCAATGCGTGTATGTTCAATGAAATTGAGATTTCTTGACAGGTTTGAGAAGACGTGAAGCAAATCTGCAATA